AATCTAAACAATATAGTAGAACAGTCATTAATCTTAATCTTAAGCTAAACAATATAGTAAGACAGTCGTTGATCTCAGGCTTAAACTAACCAACTTAATAGGACAGTCCTTAATCTGAAGCTAATCTACATATTACTAAGACAGTTCTTAATCTTAACTTAACCAATATAGTTTGGAAAACAATGCCTTAACCTAAAGCCTTAACCTAACTATTTATTAACCTAGACGGATCTTAAGCCTTTACGAAGTTCTAACCAGTTTTATGAAGGTCTTTCTAGAACATTCTCCCCCTGTTTCAGGTGGCACCTAGGGTTCTGTAACGAGAAGTACACACCCACACGGCGTGGGTTCGATTCCTTTTTTGGCTTCTACATCGGCAGTCAGTGTCACTACTATCACGATAAAGGTGAGATTTGGAATAGGTGAGACTTGGAATAGGTGAGACATGGAATAGGTGAGACTTGAAATAGGTGAGACTTGGAATAGTTGAGACTTGGAATAGGTGAGACTTGGAATAGGTGAGACGGGGAATAAGTGAGACTTGAACTAGGTGAGACTGGGAATAGATGAGACTTGGAATAGGTGAGACTTGGAATAGGTGAGAATTGGAAAAGGTGAGACCTGGAACAGATGAGACTTGAAATAGGTGAGACTTGGTATAGGTGAGAATCGGGATAGGTGAGACTTGGTATAGTTGAGACTTGGAATAGGTGAGACTTGGAATAGGTGAGACTTGGAATAGGTGAGACTTGGAATAGGTGAGACTTGAAATAGGTGAGACTTGAAATAGGTGAGACTGGAAATAGGTGAGACTTGGAATAGGTGAGACTTGGAATAGGTGAGACTTGAAATAGGTGAGACTGGAAATAGGTGAGAGTTGGAATAGGTGAGACTTGGAATAGGTGAGAATTGGAAAAGGTGAGACGTGGAAAAGGTGAGACATGGAATAGGTGAGACTTGGAATAGGTGAGACTTGGAATAGGTGAGACTTGGAATTGGATAGTCCCACATCCCAGATCCCACATGCTACATCTTACATACAACATTTCACTTCCTATATCCCACACCCAACATCCTACATTCTTCTTGGAGCTCTAGACGGCAACTTCTCATGATAAGGACATGTCCTGGTCAAGTATGAAAAATTATCTCGATATAATTAAGTACTGACCTGCCACTTAGCTCTAATATAGAACTACATTGTTTTACCAAGTTGGATATGATACGTGTAGAAGTGTTCGGTATCGTTGAAGTATAAACATGTCCATTATGTTATCCTATAGCTAGCAAATGTTCTTTATGAATCAAGTTAATTGATTTTAGTTTGGGTAGAACTGGGAAGAGAAGTTTAGTTAATGCAGTTGACCTATATTTGATCAGATGCATGACGTCACACAATTGATAGTACAAGACACTGACCAGGAATGAAATTGATTAGCCGATAATCTTCTGTTTGATGGGCTCTTCACATGCCTGGATTTATTTAGTAAATTTGTTAAATTTAGATTTTAACACGGTACCTCGACATTTCATTAAATTTAGATTTGAACTCCGCGACATTTGACACAAAGCTGTTTGTCTCTAAGTCAGGACTTGAGTAGTTTATTTTATCCTACTTGTTTATTTTGTCCTACTTGTTTATTTTGTCCTACTTGTTTATTTTGTCCTACTTGTTTATTTTGTCCTACTTGTTTATTTTGTCCTACTCTAGCTGGCTACGTCCAGAATGAGGACTCGATCAACTTGTCCTTAAAGTCCCCTCACCATGTCCTCGTCCAGAGTCTGTTGGCGGCACGTAGGAGGTACTACGTCACAGGGAAAGACTTCCGGTTCAACGACACAATTTGGCGGGAAACGGAGGGGACCTACTCGACGGTAGCCACGTCTCTCATATATTTCATCCACTCTCTCCTTCATTCTCTCTCACTTTTCCTACCCCTCTCTCAACCTCTCCATACCCCTCTAACCCTTCCTCTTCCTATTTCGCTCTCTCTCTCTCGCCATCTTCTTACCTTTTACGCACTCTCACACCTCTTATCTCCATATCCCCTCTAGTTCTCTCTCTCTCTCTATCCCTCTCTATCCCTCTCTATCCCTCTCTATCCCTCTATTTCTCTCTCTTTCATTGCGGATTCGTGCAATTGATTTTTATTTCCTATTCTTTTTTAATCTTTTAAATTCAGTTATCGCCAGTTTTTAACGATTACACTTGTAATATATTTTTACAAGCGCATTGTATTTAAACTTTAAACATAGAAAACATACATAAATGACATGTACACTTAAAGGATTAGTTTGGTGCCTGACGTGTTAAAATTAAGTTGTCCATTTTAAACCATCCAACATCCTACGTCTTACGTCCTACGTCTTACGTTCTACGCAGTTTCTTCCAGGCATCTCTTAGGAGCCCCCCCCCCCGCCCCCGAAGAAAGTCTAACGCCCCCCCCTCCCCCGAACGAAATGGAATTTATATAGAAAATATATACTTTTAACAGTGTCCGCCCCCCCCCCCTCGAAAATTTTAGTCTGGAAGATTTTACGTCTTACATCCTACGTCTTACGTCCAACTCTCCACGTCCCACACCCCACATCTCACATCCAACATCTTGCATCCTACATCCCACAGATCGCATTCGCCAACCGTGCTGTTGACATCATCAAACGTCATGATCCGGAAGTACCTCTGTTCTTGTACCTGCCATTCCAGGCTCCACACACACCTGTGACGGTAAGCTGTACACATACACACATACACGGAAATACACACACGCACATACACACACACATACACGCACGCACACACATACACACACACACACGCAAACACACCTCTCATAATAAGCTGCGCATACACACCCATATACACTCACAAACACTCAGAGACACATATATACAGACACTAAGTGAGACACAGATACACACAGACACGCAGAGACACATACATTCACACACACATAGCGAGTCACAGACACAGACACACACACACACGCGCAATATAGTATACGCACATGTACAGTCGCTAATACACACATAAACTTAAACACGCGTACATATAGTCACTCATAAAACGTAACGGTGAGCTACAAACACACACACACACATACACAAACTTACAATCACTACACACATATAGACTACATACAAAAGTAAAAATAAAGTTAGCGCTTATTAAATCTCTTTTTTACATTTTTTCTTACTTATTTTTCATGAGCTTATAACTCAAATCCTTTACGAATGTTACTATCTTAATGTACGAAAATTAAAATTTTACCAAATGAATGTTACAGTTATACTTTTAACTGTTACACTTTAACTGTACGGATGTTATAACTTTACCCCAATTACCCAAGAAGAAATCTCATGTCTTTCATTAAGAACATTCTTCCAGGTTCCTTACCAGTACTCACAACTCTATAAAAACATTGCCAGCCCCGTACGTCGTGTCTACTCAGGTTTGTCCTTTTGTTTATATTGCTGGTATATTTTAGTAGGACTGAATTAGAAAAATCATCTGGTTTACGCAGTTTTTGTGGAAAAGGGGAGATAAACTTTAGAATTTGTTACGTGAAAAATATTCATGGATTGTTTCCCTTACACTACTAGCGTTTTAAAGTAGGCCTACTTTTTGAGTTTGTGTAAAAAATAACAAATCTGTTATAGGATATACGAATATAATGTGGTAGGGTTTTGTTTACTGATGTGCTTTGTCTGACTCTAGGTATGGTGAGCGCTATAGACGAGGCTGTGGGGAACATCACGCGAGCTTTGTACGAGAAGGGTTTCATGGACAACTTGTTGCTTGTCTTCACCAGTGACGTAAGCGTTGTTTGTGTGTGGTGACTAGATATTTTATATGTTATTAAAGGCATCAATTACATAATATATTGACGATATGTTGAAAAAAAGTGGTTTTGGTGCAATTTTTAGTTTTCTTATAAGATCAAAGAATAGTAATATTAATGGTAGTGTTTAGTATGAGTAAACATTCATTTTATAATAAATACTAAAAGGTTAAACATATTTAGTCATCAACACGACATATTGTGCTCTAAATACACATTGTATCCTTAACACACATTTTGTCTTAAACACCCATGTTCACTTAAAGACCTATTATAACTTAAAGACCTATTATGACTTAAAGACCCATTATGACTTAAATACCTATTATAACTTAAAGACCCATTATGACTTAAAGACCCATTATGACTTAAAGCCCATTATGACTTAAAGACACATTATGACTTAAAGACCCATAATGACTTAGAGACCAATAATGACTTAAAGATCCATTATGACTTAAAGACCCACATCTCTTTCTTAGAACGGCGGCCAACCGGAAATGGGAGGTAACAACTGGCCCCTGAGGGGAGCGAAGAGTTCGGTATGGGAGGGAGGGACACGAGTGCCGACCTTCGTGTACAGTGAGTCCCTCCTTCAGAGGAGGCGTTACGTCAGCAACGAGTGAGTGAGGCCACACATGGATGAGTGTTGGTTACCTGGATGTTGAGTACAACTATGTACACCGTTTTACTAACAATACAACAATACAGCTATGTACACTATTGTATTAATAATACAAGTATGTACACTGGTGTATTAATAATACAACCATGTACACTGTTGTCTTAATAATACAACCATGTATACTGTTGTATTAATAATACAACCATGTACAATCTTGTCTTAATAATACACTGTTATCTTAATAATACAATCATGTACACTGTTGTCTTAATAATACAATCATGTACAACAACAAGGTCATGTACACTGTTGTATTAACAATATGTAATTCATACTGTTTTGTAATGTCTACACAATACACTTATTTCATATTGTTTCGTGATGTATACACAATTATATTTCATTTTTATGTCTGATTTTTATTTGTCTCCTCTGTTTGTCTCAAGACTTTCTCTTTTTCACCTGTATTTTCTATATGTCTTAAGTCTTTTTCACCTGTGTTTTCTATATGTCTTAAGTCTTTTTCACCTGGATTTTCTATATGTCTTAAGTCTTTTTCACCTGTAATTTCTATTTGTCTTAAGATTTTCTCACCTGTAATGTCTATTTGTCTTAAGACTTTCTCACCTGTAATGTCTATTTGTCTTAAAACTTTCTCACCTGTAATGTCTATTTGTCTTAAGACTTTCTCACCTGTAATGTAATGTCTATTTGTCTTAAGACTTTCTCACCTGTAATTTCTATTTGTCTTAAGACTTTCTCACCTGTAATTTCTCTTTGTCTTAAGACTTTCTCGCCTGTAATGTCTATTTCTCTTAAGACTTTCTCACCTGTAATTTCTATTTCTCTTAAGACTTCTACACTCCGTTGACTGGTTCCCCACGTTTTTGGAGGCTGCAGGAGGTCGACCAGGTGAGAAAGATTTTGTTGTTGTTTACCTGTTGGTTCATGCTAGGCTGGACATTGATCTGTCTCTGACTTTACATGAGGATTTCTGTTGGAGCACGATCAGAACACAAATCAGTGTCTACTGCACACAGTTCATCCCTAGCTTGTTTCTGATCAATGTCTCTCGTACGAAAGACTCCTGGACATAACCACTCCCCTCGAACATACCTGCCCCCCCCCCCCCCCCCCCCACCAGGACTTAAACCTCCTGGTCAATCCCCTGGATAAATCTCGAGCCCCAAGAAAAAATACTAACAAACCCGGAACGTTCGTCCCCCATAACACATAAACCATCCGGACATAGACCCCCCCCCCCCCCTTCCACCATCACGTTTATATTTGGAAAAATACACGTCATCGGTCCATGGACCACCAGGATAAAGAGTAACTTGACATACTAATGCTCAAACCAGTGGTATTTTGATATAGCATCTCAACGCATTCCCTATCCATAGCATTTAAATCATTTGATGCTAAACTGCGGTAGTTATGGATGCATTTTCAAAAGGTATTTAATTATGAATGAAAATTCAAATTATGTTTAACTTTATCTTTTCATAGACTAATTGACAGAAATATCAGTGCCAGGCACCACCTCCCCAACGGACCCTCTATCCCCCTTGACATGTACTTATTAATATCTTTGTAAACTCCAATCAAAATTTAATCAAAACGTCATTCACTTTACCGTTTGTTACCTCCAGAGCGTGGCATTGACGGCAAAAGCCAGTGGTCAATGCTGACCAAAGGTCAACCTTCAGGACGGAACGAGTTTGTCTACCAGATAAGCTCTGACGGGAAGGGGGCGTTACGGATGGGCGACCACAAGCTGCTAGTGGGAAAACCCGGTAGGTGACTCACTAAGCTATTTATACATTTATGGAATCGGGAAAACCCGCTCAGTTATAGCTATAAATAACTATGTTTATGGGACAGCGTGGCCTAGCGGCAGGGTGCTACACTGCTAACCCGAAAATCTTGAGTTCGAATCCGGTCTCAATATAGTAGAACGTCTCTAAGTCCACCCAACTCTGGTGCGTACCTAACTTATGTTAGGGAAAGTAAAGGCGGCTGGGCATAGTGCTGACCACACTGTCCCTTCATATGCCGTGGTCCCTGGAGCAGATGAACTCTACTTCATCTGCCCCATGTGTCTTGGGCACGAACGGGAAAAGGTGATAGGTATGTTTTTATTTTTAAATGTAACCATATTTAGTCAAGATTTGGTCTATGAATGCCTCCTCAAAAATATTTCAATTTCAACATGTAATTTGTTTAAAAATATTTGGTCGAATACAATCTCTTTCATTATGTTTATATTACAACTTTAATTAAGAACTAATCACGTGGTTCTCAGGTCACCACAATGGCTGGTACGCCCCGCCCAGTAAGACAAAAATCTCCAAGTGGCATTACAAGGGAGGCAAGTTCGACAGTGTCGCCTACACTAACGATGAGTATCAGCTTTACAATATTAGAGGTAAAGATGAGTAGAATATTTACATCAGCAAATTTACACCATTAGAGGTAAATGTGTAAAGGTTATGTTACCAGATGTAAAGGTTATGTAACCAGGTGTAAAGCTGATGTGTAAAGGTTATGTTACCTGGTGTAAAGCTGATGTTACCAGATGTAAATGTATATTACCAGGTGTAAAGCTTATGTTACCAGATGTAAAGCTCCTTATACCAGGTGTAAAGCTCAATATACCAGATGTAAAACTTCTTATACCAGATGTAAAGCTCCTCATACCAGGTGTAAAGCTCCTTACACCACGTGTAAAGCTCCCTATACCAGGTGTAAAGCTGACGTTACCAGGTGTAAAGCTGATGTTACCAGCGTAAAGCTCCTTACACCAGGTGTAAAGCTGATGTATTTTGTTCCCACCTTCCCCAGAAGACCCAGCAGAACGTACCAACATCGCCAAAGATTACCCAGAGATTACTAGGAAGATGTTGCGACGGTTCCAGTACCACAACTCCACCAAGGTGCCAGCCTTCAAGAACATGAGGGCAGGGGATGGACACTCAGACCCGGGGAATTATGGGGGGTTCTGGAGCCCGGGGTGGTGTTGATGGTAGTAGGTTTAGGGGTTTACGTTAATGTGTAGGTTTTATGTCCGTGTTTAGGTTTATGTCAGTGATTAGGTTTATGATTGGTCCATTAAATCTGATATTTTTATTTGAATTTATAGTTTAAGTTTGTAGCTTTATATCAATGTATAAGTTTATGTCGGTGTGTAGGTTTATTGCAACATGTAGGTTTATATCAGTGTGTAGGTTTATCTAAATTCATACGTTTTGTTAATTAGAAGGTTTATATTAATGTATAGGTTTATGTAAAGATGTAGGTTTATGGTAGATTCGTTTAATATTATATTTTTATTTGAATTTATAGTTTAAGTTTGTAGCTTTATATCAATGTATAAGTTTATGTCGGTGTGTAGGTTTATTGCAACATGTAGGTTTATATCAGTGTGTAGGTTTATCTAAATTCATACGTTTTGTTAATTAGAAGGTTTATATTAATGTATAGGTTTATGTAAAGATGTAGGTTTATGGTAGATTCGTTTAATATTATATTTTTATTTGAATTTATACTTATATTAAGTCTGTAGTTTTATAACGATTTGTAGGTTTATATAAATTTATAGATTTATGTCAATATGTGTAGGTTTATGTCCGTGTGATGGTTTATTTCAATATGTAGGTTTGTATCTATGTGTAGGTTTATTTTCGTGTATAGATTTATGTCAATGTATAGGTTTATGACAGTATGTAGGTTTATGTCATTATGTAGGTGTATGTAAATGAGTAGGTTTATATCAGTACATAGGTTTATGTAAATGTGTAGGGTTATGTCAAGCGGGTACGTTTATGTCAATGTATAGGTTTATAACAGTAATTTTATGTCAACGTGAAGGTGTATGTCAGTATGTAGGTTTCTGTAAATGAGAAGGTTTATGTAAATGAGTAGGTTTATATCTCAAAGCCTACCACAAGTTCAATAACCTGAAACCTCAACCACCCTCTCCGTGGTTTCATATAATAGCTTGTAACCTTATTTCAATGATTATGTATTACTTTTTACTTCGTTCATTTATGAGGTATCAATCCTTATTGGGATTAAAAAAATATATAATCAGGTTTTGTTCTTTGCTTCATTCCTGAAGTAGTTTTTGTACGAAATTTTAGATTTGAAATAGATATTACATAGATATGTAACAATATTTTTTTGGTGCAAAAAGGCAATAGGCTAGTAGGTCATTAAGATGTTTGTATTGCTATGTGCCAGCTATTGGCTGTGTCAAAGTTTGGTCTTCAATCATAAAGCTCTCAGCAAGATATGAGTGACTTAATGAAATAAGGGACGGCACGGTCTAGCGGTAGAGAGCTAAACTGCTAACCCGAAAGTCTCGAGTTCAAGTCATTATAACGTCCCTGAGTCCACCCATCACTGATAAGTACCTAACTCACGTTAGGGAATGTAAAGGCGGCTGGGCATAGAGTGACCACACTATCCCTTCTTATGCTGAGGTCTTTGAAGCAGATGAACTCTACTTCATCTACCCAATTTGTCTTCGGCACGAACGGGAAATGATGATGATGAAATGAAATAAGAAGAACCGGCCTAAACGTATTGTGTGTGAAATAACAACAAGACGGTGGCAAATGGTGGATCATGGACTGCAAATCTTATAGGAGTCTAGATGCCCACTTCTCTCCCTATCTCTGTCTGCCTTTTTTTTGTCCGTGGCTATGAGATGAATATCTTCAGCAGTATGTATATAACGTAAATCTTCGAAATTTTGTTGAAAAAATATGCTGGTTATAGTAAATAAATAAACTTAAGGTAAGGTACACATAGAACACGCTCTTCACAATCTGGACATTACAAACATTGTCTTTGGTCGCCAAGATACAAACAGACATAGCGAGTAGTACAGAGAAATAACAACAGACTTTGTAAATGGTTGCCTGCGTCGTATGTTGAACGCAAGTTGACCTGGGAGAATTATCAACATCAAAGTATAGGGAGGGGGGGGGGGGAAATCATTGCAAAATACTTCGTGCAATGAAATACAAAAGCGATGTAAAGGTGGATTGGACACATCTTTAGAACAAAAAAAAATTACATACAGGCATTATATTAGCACACAAGGAAAGAGGAAAAATTGGGTCGGCTAAAATAAAATTGGAAACATGTCATTTGTCGGTGAAGCAGAAACAGCAGGAATGTCTTGGACCCAACTTGAGAGAAACTGTGTGCTATGGTGAGGTGTGGGTGTGACCACTTGTTCTATGTGGGTCTAGAGATCATGATGGTGATGATGTTCATAATGATCATGTTGATGGTCATAATGTTTTAGAAAAAGATGATGTTGATGAAGATGATGATGATATAATAATGTTTCAGAAAATGGTGATGCTGATAAAGATGATGAAGTTGATAATGAAGTTGATGCTGCAGATGTTGTTGATGTTGTTGCTGCTAGTAATGATAATGTTGATGTTGATGTTGATGAAAATGCTGAGGTTGATGATGATAAAGATGAAGATAATGATACTGATGATGATGTTGCTGCTATCGCTGTTGATGATAATGTTCATGTTGATATTTTTGCTGCTTCTTCTGATGATGTTTTTGTTGTTTATGCTGCTGATGTTAATGAAGATGGTGATGTTGATAATGATGACGATGATGATGATGATGTTAATGATGTTGACGAAGATGATGATGTTGATGTTGAAGTTGAAATTGAAGTTGATGTTGGTGTTGATGTTGATATTGATGTTGATGTTGATGTTGATGTTGAAGTTGTTGATATTGTTGATGAAGATGATGTTGATGATGATGATGTGTAAACTTTATAACTAACCATAAAAATAAAAATAAGGTTAAAATAGCCTCCCTTACAAAACAAAAGAGCGATATTTGCATGTTTGTCTCGCTACTTGCCCTGATAGCCAGACTCCATGCTCAGTGTAAAACAACCCACCTAAGGTCCCCAGCACTTTAACACGAAACAGACAAACAAGATACTTTTGTGTATTAGAAAATGTAAACGATACCACTATATTACGTTATCGATCGACAGAAAATGCTGAGATTAATTTCTACTTAATCATTGGAGTAAAATTATCTTTACAGTAAAGAACATTGTTTGTTTAAATAAAATTAGAATACAGAAACTTCTGACTCATTTAATGCAAACATTGATATAATGCGAACTTTAATATAATGCGAGCTTTGATATAATGCGAATTTTCATATAATGCAAACTTTGATATAATGCGAACTTTCATATGCGAATTTCATATAATGCGAACAATCATATAATGCGAATATTCATACAATGCGAACGCTCATATAATGCGAACTTTCACATAGTACAAAATTTCATATAACGAGAACTTTCATATAATGCGAGCTTTAATATAGTGCGAACGTTCATAGAATGCGAGCTTTCATACAATGCGAACTTTTGGACATAAAAAGGTAGGTGTGTTTCATATGCAACACTGAGAATGTCTTCTAAATGCAATCTTTACCTCTGGCAGTAGCAACACGTCTTTATTACGTAACTCTTAAAACTGGAGTGCCGTCTAACATATATTTCATATCACAGTGTAATGATCGAATACCTGCATGCCTTTTACAATGTTATGAAATAAATATATTCTCTGAGGAGAGATATTAATTTTAGATAAAAAATGGAAATTAATAAATTTTTTTACACATTTTAAAAGTTAAGACAAAAAAAAAGCCAAAAAAAAAAATCCAAACAAAAATATCCTGTTACATAAGATAAGTGCGGTTGTTGTATAACTAATATCTGCCCGATTAACATTCGTTTATTTTTGTCTGATATCTGTCTCTACGTATCTATCAACTTAACACACTAACCTTCTGATAGTCTATAGATAATGTTTTCACGTTATCTGAAGTTTTGATATCAGATTTTGTTAAGGGTCAAGTTGTCTATGTTATTGTGTCTAGGTTCGAATTGTCTATGATATTGTGTCTAGGTTTAAGTTGTCTATAATATTGTATCTAGGTTCAAGTTTTCTATAATATTGTTTCTAGGTTCAAGTTGTCTATGATATTGTGTCTATGTTCAAGTGGTCTATGATTTTGTGTCTATGTTCGAATTGTCTATGTCTATGATATTGTTTCTAGGTTCAAGTTGTCTATAAAATTGTGACTAGGTTCAAGTTGTCTATGTTATTGTGTCTAAGTTCAAGTTCTCTATAATATTGTGCATACATGCAAAACAGTCTATTTTTAGTGTATTTATGCTTTATTTGGAAGTAGGTCAAAGTACTGGGTGGGTGCCCGGGGGATAGCGTATAATGCTTGACACCCTGGGGTGTGAGGGGTGATTTTGAGTCGGAGTGTAACGTGAACTGATTTACAACAACTTTCAGAAATTGAAACATGCTAACAACACTGATCCGATACATTGTAATTTATTTAGCAATAGGGCTGGTAAGTAGGTCACCAACCAGTTCTACGGCTAAATAAAACCTGCATGAGCCATAGAACTGGTTGGTGACCTACTTACCAGCCCTATTCTGAATTTTCGCGTTAATTGAAGAGGTTGTGTTTGGCGTAGGAAGTAGGATAGAAAAATAAAAGATTTGATAAGATCGTGTTACAACAGAACCATCATTCATCTCGTGCTAACTCGGGAATTTGTGTTAGAAATTTTTAAAGAACTGACGTGGTCTGTTGAATGGTGATGGGTGGGGTTAATTAGTAATTAATTAGCTGTCAGCACACAGGACGGGATGTCAGGTAGACGAGTTTGGTTGGACGAGTGACGGTAGTGGACGCTCAGTGACGGTCACTAACGGTCGGGTGGACGTGTGACGTTTAGTGACAGTGGGTAGTGGTCAGGTGGACGTGTGACGTTTAGTGACAGTGGGTAGTGATAAGGTGGATGTGTGACGTTTAATGACGGCCAGTGGTGTTGGGTAACGGTCAGTAACGGTCAGCACTGACAGTGGGTTGTACGAGTGACGTTTAGTGACAGACTGTGACAGTTTGTGACGGTCAGAAATTGTCTGGTAAAAGAGTGACAC